ACTAGTAGGTCACGATAAATTCTAAGTCCACGGGATAATCTTCTATCATCACATCACTTCTCCCAACTTACGTGGATAATGGGTCTCCACTTAACAAAAGTGATAAAAGTGTCTCTCTCACACCAACTAATCAGGGTCTCTTCACAGATGAATGATTCTACACATTTTATCATATCTCCACTCGTGATACAAATGTCACACTCCACATCTCCGGTACAAACCATAATGTACCCTTATGCATTTATACTCTACTTTACCAAAGGACATACAACATACTGCTAATGCATCCTATCCCACTAGTATACAAGCAATTATACCAAACAATCATATTGCCTTAAATTCAGGCAAATGCACATATCAAACACATTGAAATGTAGCATACAATTGCGCAACAGAATTAGGCAATCACACACATGCAAAAAAGTATTACACACAGATGCACATGCTACTAGGTTTACTCTCATTAAACCCCACTAGCATCATCACTCGACCCTGAAGCCAAACTTGCCTCACCTTTCAACTTGCCCTTTGGCTTATCTCTCTTCTTGGAACAGTACCTAATAAAGTGCACTAACTTGCCATAATTGTAGCACCGTCTACCACTAGACTTGTCTCGTCCCTTGCACTTCTTTGTACCACCCTCATCACTTGAGTCACTACTTGAATCACTACTATTTTGAGCTTTACCCAGATTTATTTGATTAAGTTTCATCCTACTCCTCATCATATGTAACTCACCATTCTTCTTATCTTCTTTTCCAGTATTAATCTCCATCTCCTTACTCCTAAGTGAGTCTATGACAATCTCAGGTGTTAAGGTATCCCTACCATACTTAATTGTATTTTTAACATCTCTATATGAATCAGGCATGAAATTTTTAAAAAATAATGACTTTATATGTTTCAGATACCTTTTTGTCACAATTAACAATATTTGAAACAAATTTGTTAAAGATATCCAAATTGTCATTAACATCCTTTGAAGGATCTATTTTAAAACTGAAAAATCTTTCGAGCAAGTACAATTTGTTAGGAGTGGACTTAAGCAAATATAAGTCCTCCAACTTTTGTCAAAGTTCTTTGATAAAATCAAGTTTTCTAATTTTGCTCAAAATAGTATCAAATAGGTGTAAAATAGTTAAAGTATAAGCAAGTTCATCCTACTCTTCTTTTTGTGCTTCTGTTATGTTTGATGGAATTTGCCATCTATGACTATTGAAACTTATTGTTGGATCAAAATACCCTTCATTTTTTGTAGCCAAATTGAAAATTCTCATTTCCCATTAAAAATTCCAACTTCAAAGTATAAAGATATTTTTTTAAGAAAACAAAACTACCACATGCATGGATAGGTCATGCAAAGTAATCCTAAGGCCACACACCGTTCTAGATTCCTAGAGTTTCGTAAGATTTGCGATCTTAGATCAAGAAAATGTTCAAACGAGTGAAGTCTAGGTTTTCTAAGAGGATAATCAATGGAACACGAAGGTATGTTAACAAAATTTAAATTTTCACGGAATGCAATCAATTAAACACAGAAGCGCCTATATTCCTAAATTTCTAGCACAAGTAATGTTACCTCTTCACGGTAACCACAATCCTATTATAACCCCACACGATGACACGATAATGCTGAAATTTAAATTGAGATAAGCCAATTTATCAGAACGGACCAATATGAGTCCGTAAATTTTGAGAACCGCGAATTTGTTACCTTAGGACCGTTACTATTTGCCCTAATGTCAACAGCAATCAATTGAGGAAAATTGAATCCCTAACACATAGGGGAAAAATCATCCAAGTTTTCAAGCAGCACCCAAAACTGAAAACAAACGCCATTGCAGGGTTGATCTCATTATTCGAAGGAAATTACCTGAAGAGATTGTTGCCGGAGGAGGTCCCAAGCTTCCACACGTGTCGTCACTCCAGTCATGCGCCACCCACCCTAGTGTGCCTCGATCTGCTAAACATGTAGGTGGTCTTTGTTCGTCCGAAAGGGAAGTGGTTTCATTGGAAAACACCCAAATAGATCTGGCAGAAAATTGAAAATACTTGACAGTTTCTAGTTCGATTTTTCTGCCAATTTCTAATCATTTTTGGGCTAGAAATCTACCAACAACCTTGCTTCGACACCAAATGTTGTAGAATGAATCTCCACTCGACGGATTCTGGGCTCAGATCAAACTTACAAATCAATATATCAACCAACTAACCAAAACATCATACCCACAACTCAATCCACTTATGGTTGCTTTCCTCTTTTCTCACCCACAAGGGGACAACAATATTGTGGTGATTGCAAGCCACAAAGGCAAAGAGAAGACAAGAATAGGCAAGAACTCGAAGGAGGTCACAAGGGGTAGCCACGTTTTCTCTCTTCTCACACAAGGGGGCAAACACATGACTTCTTGCAAAGGGAGGATGATATATATAGCTTTAGGTATAATTTCAATTTGGGCTAATACACAAAGATTGGGTCAAGACACAAAGTAATGGGCCAAGATATAAGGAAGCCCTCCTAAAAGTGAGTTTGGGCAAGGTAACATTAAAACCAATTAAGTTGCAATTAGTGGCCCACTTTGTTTTTGGGTCGAGTGTATGAATTGATTGGTTAATGAGTATTTCACTCATCAGCTGCGGCTTATGAAATATAATCCGACACTGTTTAACATAATTGCTCGTGATTTATTGGGTATCAAAATGAAATAGTTTCTTCGTTCCCTTTGTGTGTTTCTTTTCACTTCACCAATTGCTAGATAGGTTCGCGAACTTCATTTCAAGGACAAATAGGCCGTTGCCTCTAAGGTCTCTCCTCACTAATGATTGTATGCTTTCCCTCCCTTATGTGATGGGTCAATAAGTGAGTTTAGCTATGTGATGGGAGTATGTAATATGTTTTATTTAAATTGATCCCTCGGCTCTATTCTAGCCTCCGTCGTCTAGGAGAGACAAATTGCATGTCATTGTTTCATTAGAATCTACCTCATGGCAAAATTCTCATCAGCGAAATATTGTATGTTAATGGCAATGTTAGCTACTGTTTAAGTTAAAATTATCACCATTTCTGATGACCTTCAGTATCTCCTTCTTCGAATGTTTCCATTCATCAAAACAACAGGATATTTATACCTACCTCTTCTCCGATTTTCTTCACTGTTTGATCCATTTTTACACATTTTTTCTGGCTATTATTTTTATTCACGTGCATTACTCTCTTATCTTGGTATGATTTCTCACAAACAGAATCGAGTTGTTCACCTCAAAAAATAGATTTTATTTCTTAAAACCAAATTGCTTATTATTCTCAGCTTATCTGGAGTTTTTCCTCTTTAATTTCTTGTATTTGAATCCAATGCCTTTTTATATTCCAATGAGCCTTCTACCGAATCTTTGAAATTGATGTTTGATCCTGAAGAGAAAGAAAAGATTGAAAAAGGAGGTTTTTTGTGACACTAGTTGAAGAGCACACTATTTTCACGTAAAGGCATGGTGCACTAATATCAACACTCATTTGTTAGAAATCACACTATGATGAGTTTGTCTTTGTCCAAGGCTATCCAAGGCTCTAAGCAAAAGATTTCATGAGATGAAGTGAATGTATAGTATGAAAATTGTTTGGAGTAATTCTTAGTTCAGGAGATCAATGTGTGAGTTTTGAGTTTGTAGCAATGTTCTATCTGCATCGGACCGTTCGTCTTTATGATTGACTAATAAGGAAACCATCCAGGAAATACGCTTGTATGTCTTTTGTTACATGACCACAAAAATAAATCAATGATGCATCTTGTTAAGATGTAAATATTAATGGCTCTAATATGTTTGATTTATCTTCAAAAAATGCTCTGACTCAATATTAATGCTCGAGATTTTAATAACTGGATTGAGCAGATGCTATAGGGCTTAACAGTAAGAGCATCTCAAAATTTGTAAATGTGTCTTCCATTCAGGGAAATAGTGTGCTTTATTGCGCCAAATAAACATTGAAGTCCACTTGCGCTATCTTATTTGCCGATGAGTGGATATTCAATTAATAACACGCAAGGACAACATGGGGAGATAGTCTGGTTAGCACTTTTTTCTTTCTTATTTTGTATGTTGGTGTCTTTTTCTAACTATGTTCAAAATACCAAAAAATGATACGTTTATCGATAGCCAGATAAGAATCAGTAAAATTTGTGGCAAGTGGGATATGCATTTTACAATGCCTCTGATGGAAACAGCATTTTTTTTTTTTTTTTCCGTCAGTATATAACATGGATCCTCTTCACATATTCTAATGTTTTTATTCTTTTTGGCATGTATAACGTCTTCAAATAATGCTCATTTTTCTGAAGAGTTATTAACTGTCCAGAATATATAACCTGAGATTCTTAATTGTTAATAATAAAAATTTCCTAACAGTTTTAACATTTTAAATTAAGCCCCAGTTTGAGTCTCATTTTTTTGTATAAAAATGTGTTCTGGAATAGTAATTTTTTGGAAAATGTGTTGCATACAATTAGAACTTTTTTCGACTTACGTGTAAAATTATTTTATTTGAGAATGTGAAATTGAAAATAAATTTTGAAATAACGAGTTTTTTTTTTTGGAAAAATGGAGGCCAAATATATAGGCTAAATGTCAAACATGGTTAAGGGCCAAATGGAGTTTTTAGGTTCAAGTTTGGCCACATTTATTTATTAAAATTGTGCATGTGTCAGCATTTGCTGAAAAACAAAGTCAACAAACATGTTGGCCTGTTATGAGTTTGTCGAAATAAAAATTTGAAGTAGATAAATATGTGTTCTTTCTAAGAGTTGCTTATAGTGGTCCAACATTAACCATTTTGACACGTTCCTACTTTTAAACTAGTACCTCAAACTTTTTATCGATTCAAATGGGAACAGTCAAACTTGGATCGAGCGAGTTCGATTTTTAAGAATGATAGAAATAAAAGCAAAAGTTGACGCATATGCCATCGAGTGACCTCACAAAATTTTCTTATTTTTAAAACGAAAAATTCTTTAATTATAGATGTTGACCTTACTCTGCTCTCCGCTTGAACAATACAAGAAGTTCAAAGAAGATCCCCAAATAAATACCGTTCTTTTCCGATCTCTATTCTATACCGAGGGTTTGCCATCTTTCATCTCCCCATCTCACCGACGTCGTCCACCACTCCACCTCTCTTCTTCTCAGCATCTCGACTTCAGGTAAAGTTTAATAATTTTAGAATAAAATATGAATGTGCCAACTTTAATAGAAATTTCTGTTGGTGTTAATTGATGATGTGAGTTGTCTGTATTTTGGCCTGGTTCATTTCAGTTGAAGAACCAGATACTAAATTTGCTTGTTTTATTTTTGACTAATTTGGTTATAATTTAATATTTCCAAAATAAAAGATTAGGGCTTGGATCATGACTATCAATTAGCAAAGTAAATATTTATGTCATAGGAAGTGGCAGTGAATTCCCAAAATAGATTTATCACTCCGTTAATATGATGCACATCATTATTGGAAGAAGTAATTATTCGTTTGCATGCCCAAAGTTTTGCATGCACTTAAAATAAATGTAGCATATTAAAATCTCAATGAAAGTTTTGACTTCTTAAAATTGCAATTTAGTGAAGGTTTATAGTTTTTCTTCTCTAGCTTTTGGCTACAATTAGCATTTTGGCATGTTGTACAATTACATGTCATTACCATACTTGCGATTTGAAGTGAGTTCCGACAAATGATCTGCTCTATTCTTTTCATTTGTTGGTGTAATGAGCTTTTTTTTTTTTCCTTAATTCAAATCGAAAATAAAGAATTTACATTATCTTATTCATGGTTCAGTCATTAGTGAGTAATACTAGTTTCCGGTTTGTTGAATTTTTGGATGTTTCAAATTTCAAACTTTAGTGGTGATTGTTGATGAGTCTCTATTGATGGATGATTGATCGTTTAATTTCTCGGAAGTGAACGAGATCGTAAACAGGTAATAAAATAGTAAGTAGAGTTCAAATTCACGAGACTGTGTTCGACCGAATTTAAATTATTTGCAAATTTAATCGAATAGCAAACTATTTTTGTGAGTTTTCTATATTAATATCTAAAGTATCAATTAAACTAGTGAAAGTAAGTAAATTTGTTTTTCAAATATGTGAGATGCATTGCTAAGATGTCAAATTTCCCTTGTTATTCCATGTTTTAGTTTAATAATTGAAGTGATAATTTGAAATCATTTATATTTTTCAATGTTCCAAATTTAGTTGAAAGCCTCTTTCAATAGCAATCAAATATATTCTCCTTATATGACCATTCTATCTTTCGATGAAAGATACAAGCATGATAAATGCATTAACAAGTGCTAGAACACCTATTGAAACCATATAATGCATAGAAGGATATCTTTATCCTTTATCGAACCTTACAACATTATACTGTGCTTAAATGGTATTGTCTCTCTTGATAACAATAAAAATTATAATAAACATCCACAAATCAAGCCAAATTAAAATCAAAATAATTAATTAAAAAATAAAAATATCACAGGGTTCATCTCATCCTCGTAATGTATAAATTTAGTCTAATATATTTGTTAGGAATATATGTAATTGGTAAATCTGTGACCAAGGACCAAAATGTCAAAATTGTAAAGTCAAGGATCAAATTGTCAAAATTGTAAGGTCAAGGACCAAATTGTCAACGTCCAATAGTTCAGGGACTAGAGTTGCAATTAACCAAAGTTTGTAGGCTTGGTCTAGGGTTGTGTGGGATGCCTCGAAGATGCAAACGGCGCGGTGATTTTGCTAGAGTCACGCCATGACCTCGCTCGAGCGGAAGACACGTCGCTCGAGCGACCATGTTATCTAGCCAAACCTAATTTTAAACGCTCGCGAATATTTGACGCTCCACATTACCATGTGTCGACCTCTATAAATACCAAACGTCCAATTCGTGTTCATTAACCCGAATATACACATTGAAATCACTTTGATTATTTTCTTTCAAATCCTTGGCAACCTAAAATCAAAATCCTTCTTCTCCAAGGATCACAAGCCAAAAACCTTTCATAGTGTTCATCCAAATCCATGGCTTGTTGAGTAAAAACATCAAATACACAAACACCAAAACACCTGTTTCTCAACTCCAATTAAACTTCCAGAAGATCATCAGTTTGAAGATCCGGGAAGGACTTGCTTGAAGAGCTGGAGTGCGTAGCGATTCACGGGAGGTAGAAATTGTACAAGGCTGGGATTTAGCACGGAGCTGCAAATCCAGGAGGGTCTTGATTTCATACAGCAAGGAGGTCAGAAAAATTGAGAGGGTCAATTGAGTCTGGCGTGCTGTAAGTTGGTTTCTACATAGTGGATCTCTACTGGCTTGTGCCTAGAGTTTTTCCCATATTGGGTTTCTCCGTCAACATGTTTGGTGTGTTTTTACCGCTTTAATTTATTTACTTGTCAACGGTAATTCAACATAAGTAGATAAAGCACGTGAATTAATCTAGACTAATTATAATTTGTGTGACTTGTTGCATGAATTGTTGAAAAAGTTTTTAATTCCGCAAGAACACCTATTCACCCCCCTCTAGGTGTTAGTTGGGTCGAACGATAAGTTTTTCAATATTGAAATTACAAGAAATGATATTTAAGTGAAAAGATATAACTCGAATTTTTGATAAATTGAGAAGATGAAGACGAATATTGAAATCTTGAAACTCTTTAATTTTTTGATGAATCTCCACTTTCGCCCAAAAACTAAGTATGAATTTTCACTTGATTGACTTCTTGCAAATTTCCTTTAACTCTCTCACAAACTTACTAATTTTGTCTCCTTTAATGTATGAATTGATAGAATATTAGAGTGTTTTAGTATATGAGAGGTGTTTTTTTCATATGAATGCCCATGTTTTGTATTTGTAGTGGTGAAATTAGGTCAAAAATCGTGCAAGAAAGTGAATTTCCATGTATAATCTAGAATGAAAAAGGAAACTGGCTGCGATCTTATATTTTGGCCTGGCTGTCTCCTAGTAGGAAAGTGGGCACTCATCCTAAGCAATATTTTCAGCTTTTGTTTTTGAAACCACAAGTCCGGCAGTCGCCCGAATTTATAACTAGGCAATCACGTAGTCATAAAATCATTCAAACTTTGCATTTTGGTTCTCAAATTCGATTCTTGATTGTTTTAATTCATTTTCTCTTGCAATTTTGGTCAATTTCATCCAGTTGAGTCCGTAACATCTTCAATCTTCGTTTCATGGTCCAAACAACTATTGAAATCCTTGCAATTTAGTCTCCATACTTTGGAATTCACATTTTTAACCAATTTTTGCATCTTTCTTTCAATTTATCCTTCAACCATTGAGTTTTACCTGTATAACATAAAATACAATAATTTAAGATATATTTTGTCAAAAGAACTACTAAATATCGTTATTTTAGGCTTCGAATAAATGTATAAAATACACTTATCAAACACCCTTAAACTTAAACATTTGTTTGTTCTTAAAAAAAAGTAAAACCTAAATAACAACATACACGTAAGCAAACGGAAATATTTTGTTAGATAATCTAGCTTTTTACCTCATAAATCAAGATCTCAGTGTTAATTTTACAAACATGCTTCAAAGTCATAATACCAAACATATATCCACACTTCCAATGCAAAACCAAAGTGTGTGTGTGGGGAATTAAGTAGTCAACCATGAATCTACAAGTTACTTCAACCTCCGACCCTCTGTGCTCAAATATACCATTTCATCTCTATTATGATTTACAAATTACATGCCACCAGTTTTCTTCTTTTCACTCATTCCCAATGTATAATCTGAGGTTGAATTTTTCACTACTATCCTCAACCTTTCTAGTTCAGGTGGACGTCACTACTGCAAGTCAACAAATCAATGAACAATGATTCTTCAATTATTTGTTTACTTTGACCTCCAAAATCCAACTAAGCTAATTATCTTTTGTTAAAAGTAAAATTTTCTCAAACAAGTGTTTGGAGTTTGACCAAGGCATTTAGTGATTTTTTTTAATTTTTTTTTATGCACTTGCTTTTTTTGATTTTCAAAAGTTCTTTTCTTTTTGTATTCTCTCTTTTAAGTTTTTTGGATAACCCATATAGCAAGTTTTAGGTCGATAACTCTCAAATCAGATGATTTAAGGCACAAAATTCTAAACACCCTTACAGGCATAAGAACTCAAGTAAAAAAGGCTTGAAAGAGAACAATATTTTTTTAGTTCAATTGTTTTCTAAACGACCCTTGTATTGAGTTTTAGGCCGATATCTCTCAAGACAAATGATTTAGGGCACCAAATTTTTAGATACTTTTGCAAACACCAAATCCCAAATTAAATTATTATTTTCATGGTACCTATTAAGAGGAGAACAAAACAATAAAAAGAGTCAAAATTAGTTATTCTTTTTTTTTTTTTAATGTTTAAACTCCAATTTCATGTCACATGCATATTTCAAGTCCTTTTGAATCAATTAATGTTTTTCTTTAACTTGGTTAAGTGTTAATAATGAAGATGTCTCCCAAACTGATCTAATGCAAACTAATAATCAAAATAAATATATTTGCAATTTAGTACAAAAAGCAAAATAAATAAAAGGGATAGGAAATTGAGCCACTTCCCAAAGTGCTTGATTTATAGTCTTTAGCTAGACTATATGGAGGAACAGATCATGGTGGTTCAAATAGTTGTCTTGAGCTATGCACTACTTGCGATTTACAGCCTTGCATCCTCCTTTTGTCCTCTAGACTTTGAACCCTTCATTCTTCTATTGACTAAGGCTTCCTTGATTTTTAGGCTTTGTCTTATTTGAGCCTTGTTGCATCTTTTCAGTAATATACTTGCACTCCTCTTTAGCTTTTTTTGCTAAAATCTTCTTGTAATGGGTTCTCGATAATAATGTAGATCATGAACTTCTCTTACTTATCATCCAATCTCAATGTCAGTTCGTCACTTCACATTCCATGATAACTCAAGTTATTGACAAGAAGGATCTACCTAATATAAGTAATGTCGAATCACATGGCTTCTCTATATCTAAGACAACAAAATCAATCGGAAATATGAACTTGCTAACTTTAATGAGCATGTTCTCAACTACTCCTCATAAGTATTTGATTGATCTATCTGCCAATTGAAGGGAAATGGATCTATCCTTCAACTCTTCCAAACCTACGTTCCTTTAGACAAAAAAAGGCATTAGGTTTATACGTACTTCCGAGTCACATAAACAATTAAAATTCAAATAATTTCCTATTGAGCAAGGTATTTTGAGACTCTCTGAATCTTTTAGTTTAGGAGGTAATGTGTTCTACAAGATGGCACTACATCCTTATTTAACTTTATGGTCTCAAAATCTGTAAGCTTTCTATTTTTAGATAAGATCTTCTTTAGAAACTTTTTATAGTTTGGTATTTGAGATATAGCTTCAATCAGTGGGATATTGACATGAAACTTTTTAAAGATGATAAAGAACTTTGCTAACTGTTCTTCTAGCTTCCTCTATTACAATAACTATGGGAAGGGTATTTGTAGATCATATTATCTGACATGAGCAGTTATCTGAACCTTCAGATCCTCTGGTACTTTTTCTTTCTCTGATTCTATACTCTGCTCAAATCTCTCCAAGTGATCCTCTGTCGTAGAAGACATCTTTTTATTCACTACCACCTACCTCGTTGTATCCCTTCTAGCATGGGTATAATTTGCTTTCCTTTCTATCTCTTAGATTCTCCATTTCAAGTAACTTCTTTGTTGATCCTAATTGTCTTATCTCAAATTCCTTAATAAGTTCAACTTTAACTTTTCTTATCTCTCGTTTATCTTTGGCTGCTATCAACATATCATCAACATATAAGATTATGTGAACAAATGATCCATCATCACTCTTCATAAATAGACACAACTATCATAACTATCTCTTTTGAAATTATGAGTAGTCATAAATGGGTCAAACCTTTTATACCACTATTTGAGCAATCATTTCAGGCCATAAAGAGACTCTTTCAGTTTGCTCGCATAGTCGTTCTTTCCTTCAACTATAAAATCCTCTGGTTGCTATATATAGATGTCGTCATCAAGCTCTCCATGTAACAATGTTGTCATCATATCCAACTGTTAAAGCTCAAAATCATGCATGGTTAAAATACCAAGCAAATCAAGAATTAAACTATACTTTACAACTAGAGAAAATACATTTGTGAAATCTACACTCGGATCCTGACTGTAGCCCTTTGGAACTAGTCGTGCCTTGTATCAAGCTTCTTCAACTCTTATTGTACCTTCTTTCTTTTAATACCCATTTGCAACAAACAACTTTCTCATCTTTAGATAATCTTACTAAATCCCATGTGCCATTCTTATGAAGCGATTCAATCTCATCAGTCATCCATATCATGACGAACTTTTATTTTTCTTTGGGGAGATGGACCGTAAGAAAAGTAGAGCTTGCTTAGCACATACTTTTGGCGTGATAGGTTCGCAAGAGCTAAGCATAAGACCACAATTTGATGACATATGATCCGTTATTTGTTTTACACAATCTTATCCTCTAGTAACCAGTAGGGAAAATTTGTCTATAGATTCCCATGCAATTTACTTCATTTTATATTCGGTTGGGATTTTTAATAGATAAAGAGCTGCATATCTTCCCCCTTTTTTTAATACAGGATCATGAATTGAATTTCTATTACAGATTATCAATTGCTTTCCAAAGAAATATAAGGAAGACTTAAAAGTAAGCTCTATATTGATTGTGACCTTGAAATTTCTAGATTTCATAATCATCGTAAAAGAAAATTGTCTTTATTCTCAGCATTAAATTCTGACTTTTTTCCCCCTTTTTTCTCTCTCTTTTTCCCACTCAACGGTGAAGGACAAACTAATTTCTTTCTTTCAATTCTGCTTCATTTCCTCTGCATGGGTCGCAAGAAGCTTGCAATGAAGAGGATTGAAAACTCAAAATTCCGTCAAATAGCATATGCAAAGCGCAAGGATGGAATTGTTAAGAAGACCAACGAATTGTCAATTTTGTGTGACACAGATGTTGCCCTTATAATGTTTTCACCTACTGGCTGTTTAACTACTTTTCCTAGCAATGGAAGGTTGGTATGAGTACCCTATAGAAAAGAGTACTTGATTATGATTATTCAAAATTTTGATCCATAATTTTTTCCCTTTGGCTTTAGGGTTGAGGATACCTTTCTCCGTTTTGTTGATCGTCCTGACGAACAAAGAGGAGGGTATGTGTTTACTTGTATGATGAATAAGATAATTGTTGAAGTTGTTGAATCAATGGTTTCCGTTTATACTTTCTTTATTTACTAACCCTTGTTAATCTTTGCAGACCTATTCGGAATGAAGAGGTGTTCAATATTTACCAGTCTTTCTCCTCTCTTTATCTCTATTTTCTGCCAACTTATTATGACATTTGTGTTTGTAGTATTTGTCTCGTAGGCTCAAGCAGTTGAAGGTCGAAAGAGAAACTCTGGAAAGAGTTGTAAAGTATTTCTATCCCTCTTCTATTTCTCCCTCCCTGTGCATGTCTGTTTTGGTACATACTAGTATGATTGTAGTTGGCTCTTTTCTTGCGAGTGTCTGTTCATGTGTAGATACATCTGTTCTCAAATTTGTAATTGTAGCACTAACTTTTTCCCCCGACATTTTTCTAATGAGACCTTTTTTTGTATAATATGAACGATTCACTTCGTGATGATTGATCGACTTCAGTATTGAGGTAACTTTCTTACCTTTCACTTTTAAACGACTTCTCTGCCAATCAAAAATGATCTGGACTCAACCTTAAATCTGGAAGTTTGGAAATTGACGACTTAAAAACATATGAAGAATGTACGGAAGAACCTGTAGTTAGTACAAAATTTATTCTTAACAATTGAATCAAATTTGTTGAAGTTGAATATCAAACATTGTTCAGAATGAGTAAATCTAGGTTGTCGCATTGTTATTTATTCAGTTAAAGTAATTCTATTAGATTATATACATTGTTCAGAATGAGTAAAGCTATTGGAATGGAAAATTTTATTTATTCAACTAAATTAATTTCATAACACACCACGGTCATGCCATCGAGTGGATGCTGCGTGCCTAAAATGTTCACAAAACCTTGCTTTCTCGTGCTTTATCCAATACTACCTTGAATCGTCTTATCTAAAAGCCTAACATATTAAAGAGACAAAGAGATGACACATTTATTTATTTAAATATTGTCTTTAAGAAATCCATTAGAGAGCTTTAGATTGATGATTCATGCCGTCTTATTATGTTTTGCATTTCGGCCTGTTTCGCGCGGGTTAAGTCGCTAACAATTAAAAGGGATCAGACGATTGTGTAAGGGACGAAACATCTTGAGACAAAGTCCCAAAAAGGGGTGTTCTTTTATTGGCGATGAACTTTACAATTGGGAATGAAAAACAACGTGCCTCCAAGGGGCGCAAGTACACGAATTACAGAAAGAAAGATGTTTAAGTCTAAAAGCTAAGGAAATGAAAATTACATATTCTCTGTTCGAGAGTTTTGGATTCGGTCCTTTGTTTCTGCGTCCTTTCTCCCTTTTATACCTCATAGACGATCTCTTTGTGATTAACTACTCTGAAAACTGCTTGATCGTCCTATAACTACCCACTTTCTTTGTAGTGGCCATTTTGTCATGAAACTGCCTCTTAACTGCTGCCATTATCTTTCATCGTTCAACCGCTTTCGATTGAATTCCTTGAGTCATGGAACGTGATAAGGCTACTTTAACAACTGCCTTGATAATTGCATTCCTTGATAACCACGATGCGTTATGTTTGTTGATACCTTGGGCGACTTGAAGGTTTGGGCGAGAGTAGAATAACAGCTCTGGGCGACCGTATGACACTCCATTCGTTCAGATTCTGAACGACTTGCAAACTTGGGCGATGGCGTTACCGCACTCTTGGGCCCCTTATTTGGGCCTTCA